TGAGGGAAGGATTTGTTACAAGTAAGAGTTAACATCCAAATTTATTAGATTCCGTATAAGGACAAATAAAAGTGCTTATTTATTCAAAAAAGGCGTTTCCATATGCGAGGCGACTGATAATGTAATGTTGCATTAAATAAAATGATTTACAGCACAGTAAAGACTTTATCGACAAAATAAAAATGTATACAAACCGTTTTAATGAAGAATTGCTCTCCCCTGATGAGGTTGCAAAAAGCCCACATTCTGTGCAACCCAGCTGGGTTGTTGTAGTAAAGCCACCGTTGGCTTGTTGCGTGAAAGGGCAGGTTGAGGGGGGTATATTGTCAGTGAGATTGATCCAGCCACTAACCCAATGGCTGGCTAACACAAAAACTACCCAACCATAGGAAAAACAATCCAACAAAATAATCCAGCAGACTCAATCCAGCTTTTGGTTAGAAAAAAAAATAACCCACTGTTTTTTGTTTTTTTAGAGTGTACATTATTTACAAAAGACAATGGACCTTTTGCAAATGTGACCACAAATTGGGTTCCATCTTACGCTCAGCGCAATGCAGTGCCAGGTGCGACACTAGTGATTTTTTTGGTAGTTTCAGCCCATCGCAGTTATCATTTTCATGTCCTGTGCCAAGTTGTTTAAGTAGTAAATGCATCTGTGCCCATCTGTGCGCCCATGGGTGGACTGGTCTGAGTACCAGTACTACAGGGTGCCATGTGCCACGCCCTAGGATGAGAATGCGTTGAAATAACAAATACGTCATGGTGTGATCACACAACCATCAAAATCTCTCAAACTGAATTAAATGTGTACAGGCAGAAGGTTTTATATCTAGTTCACTCAATGTAACTAAAGGTGTGCCACAGGGGTCAGTCCTAGGACCGTTCCTATTTACTCTATATATAAATAATATTGATCAAAATATTCATAATGTAAATTTCCATTATTACGCTGATTTTATACCTACATCTGTAAAAAGTATGTTTGTAGCTATAGCCTATGGTCCCAGGAAAAGGCATTTAAATTTGTTGCTCCCTCTGCCTGAAGTAATTTGCTAAGCACATTTAAACTTAGGCAGCTGGTTTCATTGGACATTTTCAAAGCAGTTTAAATGATTATTTGGAGAATGAAACATCGGGCTGTAGATGTTTTAACTAGGTATCTATTGATATTAAAATTTGATTGGATTTGCTTGTGTTTTTGCAAGGCAAGTTAAGTAAATGCACAGCTAAACAGATGTGTTTTGAGTCTGGATTTGAATGTGACTACTGTAGGAGCACATCTTATCTCTATGTATATGATTGTGTATGTGTATGTATTGATGGATGTTATTTGTTAAACTCATATCTGGACCCATGCGGGACACTCTGCTGTGTACGTTAAACTCAATTTGTTGGAGAACTCTTTCTCCATTAAAAACAAAGTAGGGGGTTGTGTCCGGGACCCCAGATCAATATCAAAGACTTCGCAGAGAGATCTATAAAAATAGCTCCAGCAAAAGTTGGTGTAAAGAGAGTATGACTGAAATTGTAAAAAAGGACCAGAATTGAACATGATTTAACAACCTGCACAACTTAATAGTGTGGACTATTAGTTTAACAAGTCTTTTGTTGCATCTAAAGATCAGGATTGTGGAAGTCGTGCTTTTGGTAAAAGGTCTTTTTTTTTTTTTTTAATTCATCGCCATTACAAAAAGTCATAAAACCTGTAAACCCAGTAACTTGGATGGATGGAAGTCATGGAACAAAGGAGGGAGGAGATGTAACTTGCAGCTGTTTACATAAAATAGTAGTCCCTTGTGAAATGAAGTAGGCCTATGCAACACAGCACATACAAAGCAGACATTTGCCTTCTTAAAATATCCTACCACACTAAGTTCCCAGATGTATCTTCTCATCACAGACACGACTCAATTACTGATTGCTTAATCATGATTAGACGTGACTTGCGATAAGTGTCTTGCATTATTAACAAATCCATGATCACCATCTAAAATATCAAAAGACAAATTAGCAAAAGTTACTAAAAATTACCAAAGATTAAAAAAAATGTCCATTAAAACATACAACTAATAAACTCATATTTAATGCAATACATTTTTTGAGTTCTTTTTAACCCACTTTATGGTGTAACGTCACCTATTTTTCATATTTCCACGTCATTCTCTCCATATTTATGATTTTTTGCAGCCTTTGCCTCTGCCTACAATTCTCTAGATTGTTTACTGGAAATTGAAAATAACTCACTCCCCCCAAACATTTACTATTTGAACACTTGCACCCACAAACAATACAAATCGTTGGCATCATGACTAAAACTTTGCTAAGAAGTATTTCTTCTGCTATATTTTTATTGAAAGCCCATTTTGACAGCAGTGAAATATCCCTAGGACTATAAGCAGGACTTATGTACATCTTTATTCTGTATGTGAGTGAGTGGTAATCAACTTTCAATGCTGAGCTTAACTTGTATCGAACCCAGAACATTCCTATAAAAATTATAATAAAAATGATTCAGAGAGAGTCACTTTCTCAGTGGTATGACTCACAGGCCAAACAAAAACGGGATAAGCATTTCCTTTGGGAAGAATTGAAAAAGTGCTTGAGATATGGACATTTCAGTCTTTCACATTAAATATATCACACAGATGAAAGGCTCCAGGCCTTTCCCTTTACTGTCTTTTTAAAGCTTCATAATTCTGCTAAAATGATAACAAACTATAAGCTAACATATTTATTGCAGCTCTGTTCTCATGTGATTTCCACCTTTCAGTTACCAAGATAGAGTTCATGATATGGATTTCATATGAGCTTTGGTCTCTGAAGGTCATAGATTCATTCTCAACTTTAGTTGACCTGTTTACAGATAAAGAATTGCTTCATTTATTAAGGTTAGATGTGTGAAGCAGGTTAAAACACCTCCAAAAACAGAAATCAATGTGTGACCCTGAACCGTGAAGAAAATGTCCCAACGTCTTTTGATCGTCATGATTGTCATGCAGGAGTTCAGGTGATTTCTCTGCAGATTACAGTTGAAAACATGTGCGGTTGCTCCAAGGTTGTTTTAAGACACATTGGTATTGATTTTGTGATGTATATATGCTCTCTGTTATATCGGACCGTGTGCTCGCGGGTACATCCTCATCCTCAGAAGAGCTTTCTAAAGTCATTTTGTGCCGATATAAAATGATTCAATAATTCATAATGTTTGAGCATTTTTAACATTGTAACATCACATTGTTCAATTAATTTTGTATTATTGCTATTATTTTGTATTATCAGTATTTATAATAATTTACTCATAATTGTATTTATTGTTAATATTATTGATAGCATGCATGAACGACCGCAGGCGGTGGACACATGCGCTTTGGAAAGTTTTTATCTTTGTTCAGTTTGATATTTTTCTGCAGAAGTTATGACCGATACAAATGTCTTTGTATTCTTTTAAACTAAAGTTAACGCCTATCTCATAACCTCATAACATCTCATAACACAAGTGCCTGTTAATGCGGGCGTCTGTTGTTGTTGTTGTTGTTCCGTCTCTTTAGTTCTGTCAAAACCATTATTATCAGAGATGATTGGCAATTAGCAAACAGTTTGGATTGGTGTTATGGTTCGGTTCTAGGCAAGAACTCCCAGCCTATCCATTCAGCTTAGCATGGATAAGAGCAGGGAGAAGAGAAAAACCCTTAGGGTAAACAGAACAGAATCAACATAAATGTGTTGCAGGTATTATTAATGTTCAATGATTTACGTGCAACATACTGTAATTAAAGAAATATTTGTCTGATTTTGATATATATATATATATATATATATATCAATCAAAATCAGACTAATGCAAATTTACTTTTAAAAAGTTGCCAAATGGTTCCATTGATAAGACCAAAGTGATCTGTGTGTTTTGTCATTGTGAACTGAGCTATCATCATCGCAGCACGTCCAGTCTGAAATACCGCTTGATGATGGCCAAGCACACACACAGCTGATGTGAATTCTCCGCCCTCTCGTCAACATCAGGACCTCGTCAGTATTTCTTTCACCCTTTTATTGATGGACAGTGTTACATTGAGAGATTATTTGCTCCAAGTGAGAATGTTAGTGTGAAATTGAATACTTTATTATGCCAATGGTGTTTTCAATAAAAATAAAAATTAAAAAACATTTGCACAAAGCTAGCCGATCCACTTTTCCATGTAGATAAGAGCATTAAAATTAGAAAACAGAATGGGACAAAAAGAAATCAAGAGACATTTAGAATAGATAAAAATGTGTGATTAATTGCGAGTTAACTATGACATTAATGTGATTAATCACACTTAAATATTTTAATCGTTTGACAGCATTAATATATATATATATATATATATATATATATGTGTGTGTGTGTGGGGGGGGGGTGCTTTGGTAGGCATTGTATTCTTATATGTAGACATGGATCAGTTGAGAATCAGCTGATGTGAGCTTGACTAACGTGACGCTGACTGACGCTAAGCTTGATTTTTATTTTTAGTATTTTTAGTTTAAACTGTGAAACGACTCAGGGCCCGTGTTGCCTCCTTGTGGAACAATGGACTAATGCAAAACAAATTAAGTGCGCTTTCAAACTGTGCTTACAAAGTAAGCATGGTTACAGAAAATCGGAAAGTGCTCGTACAGAACACGCATACTCGCGTAAAAACCAAATTATACTTATGGCTTAAGAGACGAGTCTTCTGAATAAATGCCTCTAACCGAGAGCCATCACTCATCACACACAGGAGAATTAGGTATGTGAACCATTTGTGGATTTTTTTAACCTCTTTGAACCTCTTTGAATTCTTAAACCTGCTCTCTCTCTCTCTCTCTCTCTCTCTCTCTCTCTCTCTCTCTCTCTCTCTCTCTCTCTCTCTCTCTCTCTCTCTCTCTCTCTCTCTCTCTCTCTCTCTCTCTCTCTCTCTCTCTCTCTCTCTCTCTCTCTCTCTCTCTCTCTCTCTCTCTCTCTCTCTCTCTCTCAGGAACATTCTGTATAGCTTGAGCAGACAAGCTCCACGCTTCTCTGTCCTGAAGGATGCCCTGGAGGTCCCCTGGCACAACAGTGTCAACCAGTCCCTTACTCTGGTGTCCAGCGCCATCAGTTCAGCTGAGAAACTCATACAAAGTGGACTCGACCTGTTTGAGAATTAAAATGACAAGCCACAATAACATCTGGAAAGAGACCACATGGGGTCAGAATATGACGCAAACCCTGGGATCTTCTAACTGACACACGTTTCAGAGGGATCTGAAGACACTTTGAGAACTAGGGGAAATCATTATGAAGTGCACTATTTACCTAATGTTCACCAGAAAAATTTCTTCAGGAAATTACTAAGTTATTGTTTTTGTTCCTTTAATAACATTCAAAAATGGTTCAGCCTTTTGTGGTTTCTAACATCAGGCTGGGAAGATTAATGAGAAAAGACTCAGAGAGCTAAACTCTATAACTCACGGGGTCGAGACTTTTTGTTCTGAGAAAGAAAAAAAAAAAAAAGAAAAAAACACCAGCAAGTTTATCACCAACGTTTCCAGTCACATAAACCCCAGAGGATGACTGGAAGTCGTGACTCAAAATAGTTTTTTTTTTTTTTTTTTTAATTGAAAAAACATGTTTCAAAATATTTTAGAATATATTTTATTTGCTAGTCTAGCTCACCATTTTACAGATGGGAATCAATGACATTTGGAAAACGGGAAATGGTGTGATCCACATTTAACATGGAGTCGGACTTCATAATGCAAATCTTATTGATAGTAAAAAGGAAGGACGCAGCAGCGGCGTGTGATACTGACAGTCTCTCAGGGGCGTTTGTTTCCGAATCTAGACAAATAGCAATGGAACAAAATATCTGTTTCAATAATGTTTGTACAAATGTCTTGGGTTTTTTTTTTTAACAGGTAAACCAATTAAAGTTGATGTTAGACAGGTCAAATCAACGAAACAAGAATTCAGGGTAATGATTAACTGAAACTCTCTGGCAATAAAGTAGTGGTATAATTAGAAACATGCTAATAATTTTGGGGATGAAAGTCATAGGGTTAGAAAGCAAGTTTAAAGTCCATAAATCCCAGGCAAACAAAGGCAGGTCTTCAAGAGGTGTGAATGAGTCTGCATCTGATTGGTGAATATATAAGCTAGGCAAACAGTGCAGATTGTGTGGGGTCATGGTAACATCATGGTAATGTCTTTTTTTTTTTTTTTTTTTGATTCTGCTATCCAGTGTATTTGTTGTCAGCATTTGCACTAATGTTGTTTCTCTATTAACTATTTTGGAGAGAAATACAAGTGTGGTGAGCAACTAATGACTTCCCTTTTACTTTAGATACTGCACTTGCCTTTTAAGTATGAAAAACAGCTCAATTAGAAATATAAAATTCAGGGAATCTAGTTTGACCCAGCTTTAATTTATTTACGTGCCTTCAAATGAGTCATATGCTTTTAGAGCAGCAATTTGCACTCAGAGATTTTAAATACCAAACATTTACCAAAATATTTTGTACTGTGGTTGTGCTTATTTATAATTTTTAAGTTGTGGAGACATTATTTGAAAAGTTTGTAAAGTTAAAAAAAAAAAAGAAAGAAAAAATCTTTCTCCTTTTTTTCATTGTTTCTAATCTGTTTAGTAAGCCCCAGAAACATATTTTTAGAGAGCAGCCATTTAAAACTGTGCATCATTTCTGCATTTAACACAGTTAGCATCATTTCCTTGGTTATTATGACAATCCTTCATTTGCACATGGAGAAATTCTGTGAACTCCTCTACTGCTGGAATACTACGCTATATACACAACCCAGAAGAGTCAAGTTCATTTGCATTGCACTAAAATGAACTCTTAAACTGTTAACTTGCTCTTAAAATGTGTGCTCTTTTATTTATTTATTTTATTTTCTAAGTATATGTAAATACTGATAATTTAATCTGGCTCATATTTTTTGTTAGCCCAAGAGAATTTTCAGGTTCAGTTATGTCTTGACTGTTTGTATTGTGGAGCATTTGTATGAATTTTTTATCATGTGGAATCTTTTCAGACTGCAGCTGCAAGTTGCATGTTTTTATTTAGATTAGAATAAAGAAGAGAGTTAGACTTATTTAGATTTAGAATAGTAGGCGATTCGTTCTTATTGAATGTCAGACACTGAAATTGCACAAACTGTTGTTTCTCAGTGAAATATCCCACAACTGAAATACTAACTGCATACAAGCGAACATGTATAAGGGACAATGTAAAATCAACCAGCATTTGAGGTAACACTTTACTTGAAGGGGTGTTCATTAAACTGTCATGATGCCTTCATAACCATGACATGACATTTGTCTTGAATATGAAGTAAGGTTTATACAACTGTCATTAAGTGTCTTTCGCTCAATAATGACATTTTGAATGCAAATATGACATTGTTTAAGATGTCTTTGTTATGACATCTTGACATAAACCATAACATCATAACCTGTCAGTGTCTTGACATAAAATTAAGTTAAACTGTCATGATGGTTTACTTTGACATTGGCTGTCATGAGGCCATTATAAGTGTGTCATGAATATTTTCCGTGACCTCAACTACAGTGGTAGTAATTGAATTTGTCATTAAAAAGTTATAAAGGCCTCATGACAGCCAATGTCAAAACCAACCACCTGATAGTTTAATGTTATGTTAACCAATAAAGCTAGGTGCTTTCTTAAGTTTGATAATTAATCTGCTATGTCATGTTTATGACAGGTTGAGTTGTCTTAGTAATGTCAAGTTGTCATGACAAAGACACTGACAGGTTATGATGTATTAGTTTATGTCAAGGTGTCATAACAAAGACATTTCAAACAATGTCATATTTGCATTAAAAATGTAACTGAGCGAATGACACTTAATGACCGTTGTCACAAACATGCATACAACTTCCTTAATTCATAACATGTCATGATTATGAAGGTGTCATGTACACCCCTTCAAGTAAAGTGTCACCGCATTGGCCACTAAATAAACCCCAGTAGGGCTATCAGGACCCCTATGCGGAGAGGAAGGGGTTTGTTTGCGAAAACGACTGGCCAACTATACATTGTTTCCCATATTACACGGCTACTCTGCAAATATATAAATAGATGTTTGTTTATTATTAATAATATTTAAGTCATCTGATGTAATTTTCAGTACAACTGAAAACTAAGACACAAGATGGTGCAAGTTTTGTTTGCATGTAAGTGTCTGGTTGTTCGCTTATTTCTGAAATCCATTTATTTCAATTGGAATGCATGCGATTTGGGAGTTTTGCATGAGGGTGAAAGATTTCCCCACCCAGATTTCACTGGAGGTTCAAGTTGGTCTTTATATATTACAGGTATGGTAAAATTAAAGAAATTTTACAGGCAAAACAGATCTATCATTATTTCAATAGAATACATAAATGAAGCATCACTAACACAAAATGTGCATTACCAACTGAACCCATTGCGAAATTTGCATGGGGATCGCATTTACACAAAATTCCAGATCGCATGGATTCTTATTGATTACAATTTTCAGAGCGACAATAAATGTTCTCAGATGAGCCGATTAATATACATGCAGCGTTGCTATAGGTGAATGGAAATATCTGACAGCTGATGCAAATCAGAATTGAGTATTCCAGAGGGCCGTGTAATTAACACCCATGTAGCGTAGATCTGTAAACAGTTTTCCCCAGTATTTTTCTATGTTTGGCATCACTTTATACTGAAATGTGTACTATTGTAAATGGAGTGCATGTTAAATCATTCTTGTATATGTACACCCATTTTGGAGAAGGAGACTTTTGAACATAATTCACGTGAGTGTGCTTGGTGGCACGTACTAAATGGCATTTTAGTGCATTCATTGTCCTACACTGAATGGCATTTAAGTTTTGTCTCAATGCACTACAGGGGTTGAATCCAGACTTTTTATACCCAGTGGGGCATTAAATATAATTGTGTTGTCTTTAGTTTGATGTCTTGTGGACCCACATGGGTCAGAAAGCACCTAATGGATGGGCAATGTGAACACGCTCTCGCTGTTTAAATGGGTGGAAGGTTTTATTCAATTCACGGTATGTTTGAGAAAAGAATATCTTAAATGAGGAGCGATATAATGCGATATTCAAAATGCACTTAACTGTAATAAGGGTAGAGAGGATTTAACATGCATGTTATTTTTTTTTCTGCTTAATTTGTATGCCACTGATCCTAAGGCAATAAATACCAGTGCTGAAATAACATCTATTTGAACATCAATCTCTTTTCATTTCTCACTCAAGACTATATCACTACCTTGAGAAAGAAACGCTGCATTTTTTCTGTCAAGTATATGTATTTATTAATGTGATTCTGATGTTAGCTGGAAATTGCCTTGTGTTAAAATGTCCCTATTATTCTTTTTTTTTTTTTTTTTTTTTGATATTACCGTTTATGTAGTGTATAATATAGCTTTTTGTGAATGTGAAAGGTTTACAAAATTTAAAAGATCAAAGTGCAAGTTTATTGGAGTTATTGTCTCCTAAAAGAAAGAATTGATTCTGAACTGCCTGAAACGAGTTGCCAGCAATTCCAGTCTTTCTTCCTGCATGAACCTGTGGGTTGTAGCACATTTGCATAGCTCCAGCCTATTGGCTGCCTGTTAACAACATTTTCTTTGATTTGCCCTCAAACACTGTAGTTGTACTGTAGCTGAGGCTTGGAAAAGTTTGGTTTGTGTTGTCCGACATGTTGAGAAGACATCGTTTTCTGTGCTGCGAAGGCAAATCCACTTGCAATGGTGGTTCAGGTTGATCAGCTACTTTCAATTATCATACTCAGGCTCGAATTAATAAGGTAAAACTGACACCATCATTACTGTTTGTATCACTGTGTATGCAAGTGCTGAGGAAGCCTCAGATATGGTAATTGAGTGTTTAGTTTCTGACACATGCCATAAATGGTAGACCAATCACAACAAACAGGACAATCTAAACAATCAGAGCAGATTAATTGCACGTGATTGAACCGTTTCTGACACTGCGAGAAAAAATGTGATTTTAAAAAAATGAGAAAATTAAAGTGCTTTTTGACCTTGGTGCATGTAAACATACAGTATTTGGCCCTATCATACACCCGGCGCAATGAAGAGCCAGGCAAGTGTTTTTTTTTTTTTTTTTTTTTTTTTTCTTTTTCCAAGTTTCAGCCCAACGCAGTTATCATTTTCACATCCTGCATCAAGTTGTTTAAATAGCAAATGCATTTGCGGCCATTTGTTTGTATGGGCGTGCTGGTCTGAAAAAGAGGTGTGTTTCTATTTTGAGGCAACAGAAATAAACTGCACCAATGACCAACTGATTTTTTTGGTCTAAAGTCAATGACCCAGTTTTTATTTAGTTTTGTTATTTAAAGGGAGTGTTAGTAAAGTGTGCCTATAGGCGGGTCCACAACGTGCATACACTGCTTATTAAACACACACAGGGACGTGCAGCAGCACAGACACATGCTAAATATTAAATATAAATATAAATGATTGCAGTGTAAAAGATTATTATTGTATACCTAAAGATATGGTGGAATCCGGCTTGTCCCGTAGATGGTCTGCTTACACGCTCTAACCTCGCGCATGAGCAGATCCGTTTCAGAAGCGCTCAGTTTTAAAGCTTATTGTAATGCAAATAGTGAATCCGCCAAAAAGGGAAAAAGGGAATGAGAGATGACTCTGATTGGTTTATTGCACATTACGCTCAAATCAAATCCATTACTCATTAAAAGGATAGTTCACTTTGAAATGAATTTTTGATATGTTTTAGCTTACTTCAAGGGCATCCAAGATGTACAGTAGGTGTCTTTGTTTCCACAGTATTTTCAATTTTGATATTTTTAGGTCAAACCGTTCTTCTCTGTCAGTCATATAATGGAGATATATGGTGTCCACCTCAAAGAGCATGCACAGAGAAGTCCAAATTAAACATGATTTAATGACTCATAAATGTAAGTACACACTGATGGCCTAAGACAGGAAACGAGCGGTTTGTGTGAGAAAACGAACAGAATTTATATTGTTTTTTACCTCTTTTAACCACAGCCACGTCCAAGTGATCTGAAGGCACGGGCGCTTCGGTCTGCGCAAGCGTCGAAAAAGCGCAGGAAGTGATTTATTGCGCTGTTGCGGGGAAAAAAAAA